TCCACTTTGGGACACGGAAACATCAATCACACATAACAAGGTCTAAAAGGTGATCATTGGTCCTGATAAAAACATTGCAGCTCCAAAAAGATATTAAAAAATAAACTTTTAAGTAGAACATGGGTTGAAAATTTGTTGATTAGTTTTTGTATCTGGTAAAAATGAAAGGAAACAATATTTACTATACTAGATCGGGAAAAATACCAACATGCTAATTGTTTGATAATGTAGCCATCGGAGAAAAAAGCTAATCCGTTCTCTAAAGAACTGCCGTAGCTCATGTCCATTTCCAACAATTGAATACACATGCACACACTCTGCTTGCACAGGGATTAGATGTGCATACAAATATATACACAAATGTGACACTGATACTAAACTCATTTTTTGCTGTGCAAGGCTTGCCCTTCCAGATCCATAGAGAAAAGTATAGTGAGTTCAACGATTCCCATTGCCACTGACAAAAGCCCCTTCTGTGGCAATCAAGCTCATGCCACTACCTCCAGCTGATAACAGTGAACCTAAAGATATGCAATTAGTTATGAGGAAGTATGAACCTATTGTTGAGGAACCAACAACACCGAAACCAGAAACCACTGAAGTAACGAAAAGTGACATTGAGGACGCATTCTATGAGGATCCTGATGACAAGCTCAACATTGAACAATTCACACAGAATCTGCAGAACTATATGCAAGAGAACATGGAACTGCATGTAGGAGATATGTCTGCGTCCATCACTACACCCAAATTGAAGAATGTGAGTCGACTACGGACAGAGCATCAAGTGTAAGTTGGAATCTTCGAGTTAGATATTCACTGTGACACACATACGAGTATATAAGAACTGGATCAAGTTAAATTTTATTTTCCTATTAGACCAGGAAAATCTATAATCAGCCGTCAATTCATTTTGACTGAAGTTGCTTCCCAAAGATAGTAGTTAGATACTCTTCCATAAATTAAACCCCTAACTAGAAAAACAAAAACTTAGTTTGCTACCTTACCAAGCCAGTGGATCAAGTTAGATTTTATTTTGTGAGTATTGACAAACAAACCATTTAGGCATTAATAAATGTTAAATAACACTACTTGCTAAGATACTTTTTGCTGCACAACTAACTCCTTCCATCCTGCTGCAGGTACAAATTTCCAGATTCACACCCTCTTCTAAAAGGGGTTAGTTACCTCTACTTTTGTTCTGTGAGCATTTGTAAACAATTAGAAAAGAATGTAAGGACATACGTATCTACACGCATGAACTTCATTTAGAGTATATAAGTAGCCCGGGGTATGGCCAAATGGTAGACCAACACCACACAAATAAAATTTACTGCACCATACCATACCTTGGGACAGGTGTAGGGACAAGGACAAAAGGATCATTTGGAGGAGGGAGTTGCATTCCTATTTTTTGACGATTATTCACACCCTCTCCTAAAAGGGGTTAGTTACCTCCACTTTTGTTCTGTGAGCATTTGTAAACAATTAGAAAAGAATGTAAGGACATACGTATCTGCACACATGAACTTCATTTAGAGTATATAAGTAGCCCGGGGTATGGCCAAATGGTAGACCAACACCACACAAATAAAATTTACTGCACCATACCATACCTTGGGACAGGTGTAGGGACAAGGACAAAAGGATCATTTGGAGGAGGGAGTTGCATTCCTATTTTTTGACGATTATAAAAATTTGTGTAGCTAATCTATTAGGCAATAATAGATATAAATCAAAATGAAAAGTTTCATGTAAATATATATAATAAAAAATGGTAAACCTCATCATGAGTGTGTTAAAATCAGACAACTATTCGTTCATAACTGGATACATGGCAGACAAATACAACTGTCCAACTCCTCTCTCATTCCCAATGTCACGCCCGATTCTTAAATATCCATTGTACCCCCATTTTGTATCCTATGAATTCGAATTTCGAAAAACTTTCTAAATTTTTTTTCGCCGTGACCAATTATGACAACTACATGGCGAACAGTTACTTCATTAGGTTCTTTTTTATATAATACATCATTATTAGACCGGAAGAATTTCGTACCAACCATCGTGGTTCCTAATACCGGTTGAGTCGTCATTGTCAACATAAGATATTTCTCATTACATTGAGGTATTTTGATGAACCCATCAATGGTTTTTCTTTTTATCTTGTTATTACTATTTCTTAACATTGCATCATATATCATTGCGAACTCATAACAGTATTCAAGCAAACCTCCCCTTTCATTAGCTTTTGCATTTGGATGACAATTTATTAAGTCTTACCCAATTTACCATAGATTGAACTCCTACAACAATCCTATCCATAGTTTCAATGGTGATTGTCGTACTTCAAACGTAGCAAATGTGTCTATCATTATGATTTTTTACTTCTGTCATCTATGGAAATCGACTATGGTTTGCAAAAATAACCCACTTATTATCGTCAACTTTTAAATGTATGAAATTTTGTATAAAAAAATAAAATAATAATTAAGTAAAAAAATAAATAAAATACAAGTCTTATGTATTAAAAACAAAATCAACAGGAAAAAAAAATGTGCACTCATTGATTCAATCTATTGACCAGCTACAAATTTATTGCTAAATTTATAAAATGTAGGTAACAAACTTATTAGCCTTCTATTATCATTTTCTTTGAATTTCTTATCACACTCAACAAATGCCTTTGACATGTTTGAAACAAACAAAAAGAAATTATTGGTGAAAGAGAGCACACTATTCCAGTTTCAAATGTTGAGATGAAAGGAAAAACAAAACAAAAATCAAAATTTAACCCATTTGCCAACAAGAAAAAAAAAAAAATTAAGAACAACTTTCTCTACATCAACAAAACCCTTGCTACTGACATTGATTGGGGAAAGGGAGGCGAGTTGCAAAAACGAATCTTTTTGGATATAAAGGAATAGGGTCTTAGCTCATGCAAAGATTTGTTTTCTCCGTTTCGCTCCTTTTCTCCAATCGACGTCTGTAGCGAGAGTTCTGGTGATGTAGAGAGGATTTTGTCCTTAATTTTTTTTGTTGGCAAATGGGTTAGGTTTTGGTTTTTGTTCTGCTTCTCCTCTATTCACCTCAACATTTAGAACTGGAACAGTGCTCTCTTTCATCAGTTATTTCTTCTTGTTTGTTTAAAACATCTAAACAGTGTGGAATATTATTATTTGTGAAGTAATGCGAAAGGGATTTGTTGAGTGTGATGGGAAGTTCAATCAAAATGATAATAGAAGGCCAAGAAGCTTGTTACTTGCATTTTATAAATTTAGCATGGATTTGTAGCTAGTCAATGTATTGAATCAGCGGGTGGTGTAAGTTTTTTTCTGCTGATTTTGTTTTTAATAGATACAACTTATAGTTTATTTATTTTGTTACTTAATTATTAATATTTTTTTATACACAATTCCGTACATCTAAAAGTTGACAATGGTAAGTAGATTATTTTGCAAACCATATTTGGTTTTCATGGATGTCTGAAGTAAAAAATCAAAATGGTAGTCATATTTGCTATGCTTTAAGTATGGCAACCCCATTGATTGTCGCAAAAATTGAATCTGTGGTAAATTGGCAAGACTTTATAAATTGTGATCCAAACGCAAAAGTGAATGGAATGGGAGGTTTTTTTGACTATTGTTATGAGTTCACAATGATATATGATGTAATATTGAGAAATGGTAATAATACGATAAAAACACAAACTATTTATGGGTTCATCAAAATAACCCAATATAATGTGGAATATCTTAGGTTGGCAGTGACGACTCAACTGGTATTAGCAACCATGGTGATTCGTTTGAAATTCTTCCGGTCTAATAGGGATGTATTAGATGATGGAGAAGATCCTAGCGAATAAAATTTTTGCCATGTAGTTGTCATAATTGGTTACGGTGAAATTTTAATTTTTTTTTCGTAAAGCAAAATTTGTGGGTTATGAAATGGGGGTACAACGGATATTTAAAAATCGCGCGTGACATTAGAGAGGAGTTTGACAGTTGTATTTGTTCGCCTTGTATCCAGTTATGAATGAATGAGTTGTTTGATTTTGATACACTCATGATCATGTTTACCATTTATTATTATATATATTTATGTAAAATTTTTCATTTTGATTTATATCTATGGTTGCCTAATAGGTTAGTTACACAAATTTTTATAATCGTGAGAGGATCCTGATGCAACTCCCTCTTCCAAATGATCGTCTTGTCCTTACCCTTGCCCTTGTTATCCCATGGTATGGTGCGTTAAGTTTTATTTGTGTGGCGTTTGTCTACCATTTGGCTATTCTTCGTGTTACTTATATTTTCTAAATGAAGTTCTTGTAGGATTGAGAAACACATTTTTTGTGGGCACCCAATGGAAAAAAAAACTAAAGTAGTTTAATACTGGGAAGGTGGCATCCCTTACAAATGCTCAGATTCAGAGTAAAGATGTTCTTATTACTCATTAACTGAAATCAAGCTTGAGTGATGCTAATAAATGCTTCCACGGTGAACTCTTTCATAATGATGGTCCAAGTGTTGGTGATTTGGTATGATGTCATGATCTCAAAAGGGATCTTATCCGTAGAACTGTTGATTGAATTGTTATAAGCAAATTCTGCACAAATAGTAGTAAATTCCCGTTGTCTAACTTACCACCCACGAGACATTGAAATAAAATCACCCAAGCTACAGTTTAATAACCTCAGTTTCACCATCAGTTTTCGGGTGAAAGGTGGAGAAAAAATAAATGCAAAGGTAAAGCACAAAAGCAAATTGTAATAGAAAATTAAACTATCAATTTGTATTCAATATGAGGGGTGTAATTAGTTAACCATCATCCCAATATTTATAGTCCTAACTAAAAGAAATAACAAAGGAAAGAAATCCCGAATAAATAAAATACTCAAAATTGATTCCCTAAATTAAATGTCCCAAAATAAGTCAAGCTTAAAGAAATTAGTCCTGATTCATCTTGGCCTGCTTCATGTAAGGGCAATGAATCTCTGGCTTCCGCCTGTGTTCCCCATCACAATGGTTTTTCTTCTCCTTTGTTTCTAGTATAAGTTAAAGTGGTGTGAAGAGTGGTATGCTATTTGGAGTTTACTCTTTCCTTTAGTATGGAAATCATAAACAATATCCTAACTATGAATCACTATCTAGAAATTGCACATTGTGTATGTGTGCCATGTTCAAGCCTTGGAAATTTGATTTAGCTTTTACTCCCTATGTCCTTTTACTCTCATCTTTTGGAAGGAATGGAGGATGGTATTAATTGGCAAAGGGTTGGATTGAATTATGTGATGATTTTGGAGAATGTATAGATGATATTTGTTAGTAGGGTAGTTGTGTGACTAGGATGGGTACCTCTCCAATCATTGCTTGAATTGCTTCAACTGCATCTCCTAAAACTGGCAAAGGGTTGGATTGAAATATGGATTGAAATGTGTTGATTGGTTTGAACATATTACTTACAGTTCTAGGAGATGCAGTTGAAGCGATTCAGGCAATGGTTGGAGAGGAACCCATCCTAGTGATGCAACTATCCTACCAACAAATATCATCTATACATTCTCCAAAGTCATCACATATATCAATCCAACCCTTTGCCAATTAATACCATCCTACACTTCTAACCATGCTTTCACATAGGTATCCTGTGCTGGAGACAATTCAGAAATATGTGGCCCAGACTGTGCAAGCTGGATGAGCGAACACTGTAATTTCGAAACTCCCTAAACCATTCATCTCTATGGATGGCATTTCACTTCTCTTTAAAAATTGAAGTTACGAAATTTTCACTATATTCTTCTGAACATGTAACTGATTAACATATCATGAACTACAAGTATGAGCTACATTACCAGATGACTTACATTTGGAAAGGTATGTTATCATGATCCTGCCCTTGCTAAATGTAGTTGACTAACCATAAGATAAGCACTTTTCCATGACAAATCATTCTTTATAATTTTATAGGTTTTCTACACTAGGAGCAAACCAAATGGCAGTCCATGTTCAATGAGAGGAGGGTGTAGACACTCTGCAAGCGCATTCGCAAGGTATGCATTGAAAGCTTTGATTGATTTCTACTTTTAAGTGACAACCAAAAGCTTTATCGTCACCTCCATAGTGTTCAAGACCCAAGAACATGCAATCAGAAAGTTGTACACATATTTCATATATAACAATCTGCAAATATCAAAGACACACACAACAATATAACACAAGCAAAACAATAGTCATCGGAAGGAGATGATGGTAGTCAGTGTCAACAAATATTGTAACTACTAGTGTAATTTCATAGAAACATTGACAAGCACTAGAGGCGGTGGCTTTAAATCCTATTAGCATAAACTGATGAGATTTGAATGACAAATAAGGCCTAGCACACATTAAAAGCTTCACGTCCATAAA